GAAATTGAATCTTCATCCTTGGCAGATCAGAGGCCTATTATTTTTAGGTAAAATTGAATTAAAATGAAACCTTTTGCTTTCCAAAAAACACAATTTTTACAAGTTAGTCAATTGACATTAAATGCTTTTCAAAGTTGGGGCCAGTGCATGCAGAGGTCAGGAAACCACACCTACATTAGTTTTGCCCATCAGCTTCTTGTGCTGGCCTCGGGAGATTATAAACAGCACTTCAATATTCCTAGACATTGTGCGACTACCTCCAAGAAACAAACTCCAGAGGAATTGGAGTTTCCACGTGTTAGGCTGATGGCTTTTTTTTTTTTTTTTTGGATGCTGCTGAAGCAGAGAGCACGAACTCAACCACTACACTGCTGGGCCAGCCCCTGATGGCTCTTTTTGCACAATTTCTTACAAAATATTTAAGGGTCAGTAAAAATAATTTTTTTCATTCTTAACACTAGTTCTCTAGTTTGCATGTGATGTCATGTTAGGTATTGTGCTGAAAAGGTTAATCAGACATAGTCCATTCCTGCCTCAAAGACAATACTATCTGATACAAAGATTAAGAATTATTATTATTATAGTAATAATAATTATATTAATAATTATTATGGTAATACTATTTTAGTAATTATAATAGCAATAATAATTATTATTTTAGTGATAGTGATAATAATCATAATCATTGCAGCAAGCACTTATTAAGCCATTATTGTGTTCCAGGCACTGTGCTAATCAGTTTCCACTATTAGCTCTTTGAATATGATCGTCAACCCTGGGAGGTACGTAGCATTATGTCCATTTGACAGATGCAGAAACTGAGCTTTAGAGAGAGGGGAAGAAACTTGTCCAAGGCCACACATGTAGTCAGTGATGAAGGTGGGAAGCAAAGTTTTGAAGCTTGAGATGTAAGACCAGAGTCAAGTGCACAAACATTTACAAGACGCACATGTGACATGCATGCTTACATCTCTTTATGTCGCTTGAACGTTCACTTAGTGGTCTTACAGTGAAGGAAGTAGAGAAGCCGCAGGTTCTGTTGGAATTACTATACGTTATTTCATTTGTTGGAGAACAGAAGGCTTAGTGGAAGGTGGTATCTTAGGAGAAATGTATAATTGACTTGCCCCACCACCAGAAGGTGTTTGGGCAGATCAAAAAGGGAACTCACGCTTCCTTAGGGAACTGCCCGTTACATTTTCCACCTGCTTTTCTGCCTCCTGTCCTGTACGCTTGGCATTTCTTCTGCTCTTAGGGTCAATAAGTCAACAGCATGTTTTTAGCACTCCCTGGGTGCACAGACATGGACTCTGACTCCGTGGGAATATATAACCACCATGGACCAGATATGTGCGCCAGGGGACCGGGATGAGGGGGAGTGTGGAAGAACAGAACATATCAAATAAAATTATATAGAAATATATATAACTTATTTTAAGTCTCAAAATCACTCAAGGGTATTTTTTTTTAATTGGGCAATTTTACCTACTCCCTTTTACACAGTCTGATAAGTTCCTAAATGGGAGCCTGATGTAAATTAATCTTTTAATGCCTCATAAATAAAAAAGGGAATCATAGAATCATGTAGCTGGAAGGGACCCCAGAGAGCTAAAGTGTTTCATGGAATATTAATGTCCTTGATCTGTTAATAGGTATTTTGGAAAAGGGCCCCGTGGTCAGTATAATTTGCAAATGCTGGGTTGAAGTTAAACAGGTTTCTTTCCTGCGGAACTTCACGGTCTTTAATATGCTAATATGCTTTGTGAAACTACAAGAGGAAGGATAAAGTGTGGAGTGTTTCAATACTTACTTTACTCCAAATTCCCTTTCTGGGAAATGCTGGTCTAGCTGAGCCGGCTGGTGTGTTCTCTACATCAAGATGGCGGCTGACACCTTTTTCAGAGCAAGGAAGTCCCCGGGGGAAGGAAGGATATATCAGTTGCTCCTGTTTCATGCCAAGAATTCTCAGTGAGATGCCTTTCCCTAGAGGCTCAGAGAAGGCTGAAAGGAATGATCCGTGAACAGGACTACCTTTCACCGTGATCCACACTGTACAGAAGCTCTGAACTCAGCACAAAGAGGTGACCGGCCCCTTGGAATCAGGAAAATGTATTTATCCCCGACCTCGCCCACTGAGGACATACGAAGAGGGGAGGGGGTTGTCACCAGCTGTAGTCACAAAGCTAGTCTGAGTCTCTTTCCCTTAAGCAAACGGGTTGTGTACAAAGCTAGTCTGAGTCTCTTTCCGTTAAGCAAACGGGTTGTGTGTGTTTAGGTTGGGAAGTCACCAGTTTAAGAAAAAAAGTGAAGCTGCTGTCTTGTCTGTAGGACCTCTTAGAGCTTTTAATGTGAAAATGTGCATTGTGAAGCTCCAAGAAGGGGCAGAGTGCGCAGGATTTTTAAAAGTTACTTGGCCACGAACCTCTTGCTTTGTGCAGCATTTGGCAGGCACTTGTGTTCTGAGGACAACCCTTTGGGAAACACTGATCTAATCCGACCTTCTCATTTTACCAGCAAGCAACTATGGGCAAAGCATTTCTTATCTGTGGGGCCCTCTTGGGTTCCTTTCTCCATCACCGTGACAAATTTATTGGAATTAACTTGATCAAGTTTGGGGGCAGCTTTGAAGAGATTTCTTTAGTTGATAAACCCTTTTTGTACGTTTCAAGGGCAAATTACTCTATATATCTTGAGTTTCCATTGTCAAAAACCACAGATTAATTTAACCAACCTTTATAGAATATCACCTATGCCCGAAGACCCTTTATGTCCAGTGGTGGCCTACAAAGATATAAACTGTAGTTCTTGCTATTAAGGACATTAATAATAATGATGAATACAATATTGATGGCAATAATATGAACATCTTACATTTATCAAATGCCTTTGTATTCATCAGGCACTGTACTGAGTACTTTAATATTTCCAACAATTTATGAGGTAGGGGTTATAATAATCACCATTTCACAGTGAGGACACTGAGGTGAGGAGAGGTTAAGGAATTATTCCAAAGTTACATGCAGCTAGAGGAGAGAAGACATACATAGAAAGGTGTAGAGCATGTGAAACATTCCGTATGAGTGATACAAAGTACTATATGAATTCAGAGAAAAGAAAAATAATTTTCCAATGACTTGATCAGTGAAAGTGTCCAATACATGGTGGACAATTATGGTTTGGTCACCCGTCTCTCCTCCCTTTGGGGAACAGCACCCCCTTACTTTGGAGGAACTGTTTTCCCTTTCACTGGGGGGTTCTGGCTATGTGGTTGGGTGGATTGCCTCAAGCTGGACCAATGAGTCTTTGGGAATTTTGGGATTAGAACCAAGGGAAGAGGCTTTCTTCTTGGCTGGTAAAACTGTAAAATCTTGTCTGTGATGTGCATGACTTGTCCTCAGCCCTGTGGAAGGAGCTGGGCTGTGGTAGGAGAATGATGGTGATGTCAAGGGAGGGGCAGGTGCTGGAAGTGGAACGATGGAGTGCTGGAGGTCCTCCGGGACCTCTGAGGCTTGGGGGCTACTTCCTTTTCTTCTTTACTGGGCAAAGGACTTACCACCTTCTCTTCTTCTGGGAATGATACTGTCCTTCCTTGAAAACTGAAATGTTATTAGAAAGTGATTAAGAAAACCCCACACCATAAAGATATACACAAATCCTTAGAAGTATTGAGGTTCTATCTATTTGGTGCTAAGCCAAGTCTCCCTCAATCATAATAAAGTCAGGAACTTTACAGGAGAATGGGTCCTTTGGGGCCCAAGGAGAGAGCAGAGGTAAAAAAAAAAAATTCCTTGTGATTTACCAGAATAGCTAACAAGTCCCAACAGGATTCAGTTGATGGCTTCAGTGGTTTCCCCATCACAGTTGAATGATATTAATAAAGAGAGGAGGGGCCATACAAGAATCTGGACTGACTATAAGTGCCATGTTGGCCACTTCCTTGACCTCACAGAAAGCTTCCTTTTGCTCCTCTGTAAAATGGGAATTATACGAATGCCATTCCTGCTTCTTTTAGTTGTTTTGAGCCTCCAAAGAGAAAGCAGATGCAAAGTGTTTTATCAAATGCAAAACAGCATGTAAGTGTGAGCCGTTATCCACAGCTGTCTTACTACGATCAAATACTGTATAACCCCACAGCAAGTCAAACTTAGTTCGAGGAAGTGGACAATATTTGGGGGAGAAGCAGCAGGAGATTTCAGAACAGTAGCCTTAGTGGGTGCAAAAATGCTTTGAGGTAAAAGGAGATAGAAGCAAAAATAAGAATTGTTTCTTTCCTCTTTAGGTTTTATTCTTTTAGTCCATTCTCTCTTCACTCCCATTTTCTGTAGGGTATTTCTTGGTTTGGGATTGTAGGTAGGTTTATGGAGACAAGTCAGACCATCTCTAGTCCTTGCAGAATGAGAGGATGCGGGGAAAGGACCTAGCACAGTTCCTGGTACCCTGCCGTTGTTTAATTCGAGTTTGTTCATTTGTTCCTGGCAGAATATTAAAAAGGGCTTTACCCTCTTCCTGTGGAAGGTGATTAATCCTGGTAAGAGCTCAGCAGCACCAACAAACACAGTGTGGGACAAGCCTGTTTCTAAGCATGAGCTGGGTAAGGAGGACGAGAAGGGCAAGAAGAATAAGGAAACGTGTGTCTGTGTTGCTACTGTTGCAACCACCACAACAAACAGGAAAAAATAGAAGTTTCCGTATTGAAAAGTGTGCTTCGTTGAGAGAGCCTGGGGAACAGGGTGGATGGCAGGGTGAGTCCTGCTGCATTGAAGGGCCTGACAGTATGTGATTCCCTGCAACAAATGGTAGTGGTGGGGCATGTGTACACACAGACACGCAGCGCCCAGCCTCCAATTTCAGCGCTGGCAGAAGATAACAATTCTCAGCTCGCCTTTCCAAGGTTATTTTTGGCTGGGGCTGTTCGCTGATGGCAAAAGGTTCAGCCCCCTCCCAGCTCCCTCCCTTGTCCTTGTTCAAAAAAGAAACTTGTGCTTGTAAACTGCTCACTCCCAGGGAGACCGGGAGAGAGGGCTGCCGATGGGGGGTGGGGAGAGGGGCTAGGGGTGCGGGAGAGGACCCCAAATCCTGCTTAAGCTCTCACCACTCCCAGGGTATTTTCTAGCGGAGGGTGTGCCCCGGCGAGAAGCGATCTCCAGGGAAGGCTTGGGCCAGGCGCGCAAACAGGCGTCGCCGGGGTCAGGGTAGCTGGCACTGGGAACGGGCTTTTGGGACGCCTCGAAAGTGAGTCTAGCTGGGGGAAGAAACTGCGGGCATCTCGGGCGATCCGGCTGGAGAGGAAGTTGGGCGGGAGAAAACTTTCTTGGAAGGTAGAGGCCAAACTCTGCTGGGGCAGCAAGGGGCAGCGCGGAGAGCGAGGAACGGTCGGTGCCGCCGGAGGGCGCAGGGCGCGGGCCTGCTGGGGAGGGGACCGGGGCGCAAGGCGGAGTCCGGGCGCGCCGCCAGGCTGGTGGGGGGCCCCGGCGGGCTGCAGATTCCCTCTGGCTCCCGGGAGCCGCGGCAGGACCGGCCAGGAGGCGCCATGGAGGGGAGCCCCATACCCGTGCTCACGGTGCCCACGACGCCCTACCAGGACCAGCGGCCGACCGGCGGCGGGGGGCTGCGGCGGCCCACCGGCCTCTTCGAGGGCCAGCGCAACTACCTGCCCAACTTCATTCAGAGCGTGCTGTCATCCATTGACCTGCGCGACCGCCAGGGCTGCACCATGGTGGTGGGCAGCGACGGCAGGTACTTCAGCAGGACGGCCACGGAGATCGTGGTGCAGATGGCCGCGGCCAACGGGGTGAGTGACCTGGCCGCCCCTCGCTTCCCGCCGCCGTCCCCTCTCCCCGCCCCTGACCCCTCCCGCCTGCTGCCCCCTGGACGAACCTGGACCCGAGCTCTGCAGCTCTGCCAGGTCCTCTCCTCCAGCGTCCGCCACCGCCGTTCTCCCAGCCTCTCTGGCACACCCGGAACACCCGGGCCGTGTTAGCATCCACCGCCCGAAAGGCCTTAAGGGTTCCCCGCCCTTCTTTGAGCCCCCCCGGGCATCCTGAACCTGCCACATCGCCATGAACTCTCCTCCGACTCTGCCCACGCCTGGCACCTGCTCATGTTTCTTTTCCACGTTCTCTTCCCCAGCCCTTCAGAAGTATTTGTTCTGACCGCTTTCACAACCTCCCTCTAAGATAGACTTCTTTCGTAGGCTCCCAACATCGTTTTTTTTTCCTTTTCCTTCTATGTCCTCTTTGCAATCTTCTTCTTCCACCCTAAATCTTGGTTCTGCCAAATTTAGCAGTAGTGTTGTCTCAGAACACACACACCCCAGTGTTGATTCCTGACGTATTTGGCAAGCATGGACCCTGAAGGTTTTTTTTAATATCATTGGTTCGTTAAGCCCGTGGAATTATTGCATGATTGATTTGATTAGGGAAGGGATGGGGTGGAGATCAATTCGATGCTCTACAGCCTGGGCGTTCAGTTGCCGGGAGGCATGTCTCTAAATGGTCTGAAATGAGATTTGCAATGCCTTTCTTACAGCAATTCCCAACTTCTCTCCAAGACGCCCTTTGGCATTTGACATTTCATGCCTCTTCTCCCTGTCAGTTTTCCTCTTCATTTCCTCTCCATTCTCCCACGACCTCTGCAGTCTCCTTTTGCAATCTAAATTCTCAGACCTTGGGCATTTCTCCACCTCCCTCCTTCCTCCCTATCTTACAACTAGAAGCACCATTTGGCAAATAGCCTCATACTCCAATTTCCTCCTTCCCAAATCCCGCAGCATCTCAAGGACTTCGCCAAGAGGGATACCTCACTTAAGGGGTCTCTGAATTCTCTGTGGGAAACATTGTCTAAAAGAGTAATTTCAACCTTCTTAAAGCGGTCAGACCCACACACATGGAACTTTTCTTTAAGTGAAATCTCTGCTGATGTATAAATGAGTGTGAACATTTTAAAAAGTGAAACTAAACGATCATGTGGCATTTGGATTCCCTCCCTCCTTGCCAACCTTCTCCTTTTTATTTTCTCATTTTTGTGTTTTAAAGAAGCTTTGGGGATGTCCAGGCTTCACATTTGTCTAGCGTAATTCCCCCTTCTCAGTCTTTCAGGGATGGGGAAAGAGGATTTTTTCTTTTTTTTTTTTTTCAAATAAGCAAAAGCAGTTGGGAGAAACAGGGCCCTGCGGGGTGAATTGGGTGGGGGAGTGGTGGTTCCAACCCCAGCAGACGATGCTGCTGGAGATACAAGGCTTGCATTTCTCTCTGGCTCCTCACTGGGCTGGATGAAAGCTGGCTCGAATCAGGGATCTGGAGAGAGGTTGACAAATGGTCTTTCACTCTTGTCTGACAAAGCTGTTCCTGTGGAATGATGGAGAATAACAGGCCTTGGGAGAGCTATGGCAGCTTTCATACTCCTTCCTGGGCCAATTTTTCCAGGGAATGAGAGAAACATAGCCTGTCCAATATTTATTGTGGGTCAGGATATTTTTGAAGCTACAGTTGTTGATTTGCATGGGCAAATTATTCTTATGCTTTATATTTCTTGGCACACTTTACCATAAGGACTCTTCAACCTCTTACTTCAATGGGTCTTCTCTGGTAAACACATTTTATTAACTTTAAAAGTGGAGTTTCCGTTAGGAGATAGTTAGCATATGTTAATATATGCTTAAAATAGAGTCAAATTTAACGTAGCAGCTGTTATGAAGGACAGCATGACAAATTGAAATCCACATAGAAGCACCATCTCTTAAATAATCTGAAAATACTGCTTCTAAAATGAGTGGGCATGGGTGAAGAAAATGGTAGACATTTATCAAAATTTCAAACAGCCAGTTTTAGTAACCTTTTCCTCATTTTGTTCACCTTCTTGAGGGCTTTTGCAAAAGCAAAGTGAATGATCAGAAGGCTGGCTTGGGGAGAAAGGTGGTTTAAAGGGACTGTATAACCATGAGCAAACTTGGTCTTGACTAATTGCAAATTGGTGGGAATGCACTTGCCTCCTGACTTGGCTGCTGAGTTATACTCAGGAATGATGCGCTTCGATTCCAAACGCTTTGGCCTTTTTTGATTTCCTGTTGGATATTCATAAACAGGGGTAGAAGAATAGTAGAAAAGTAGAATTTCTTCTCTTTGAACTGACTTGACTCTAACTAGGTGGGCTGCATTCTCTCTATCTGAAAAATCTTGGTTTTGATTGAAAAGTTAATTTTACAAAGCAACTTTCTACAAAAAACTATAGTTGCTCTTTGATTATATAGTTACTGGAGGAGAACAGAAGTTTGGAATTTCTAAAATGATAAACTATACTACGTATATTTTAATATCTCAGAAAGTTTGAAATAGATTCTCAGACATACACCTGTATAATTTGGGATTAAAAAATTTTTGTTATGAAAATGTCAAACTTTCAGAAATGTGGAGAGAATAGATTAATGACTTCTATATGCCCATACCCTAACTTTACATTTTTAACATTTGTTAAACATTTTTATTAAAGATTATTAACATTTTTCTATATTTGTTTTATCTTTTTTGGGAGCTAAAGGATTTTAAAATACATTAAAGAAAATGACATTTTGCCCCTAAATTCTTCAGTATGGATCTCTAAAAAAAAAGAGAACATTTTCCTTGACAGTTACAATGTCATTATCATCCCAAACAAAATAAATGATTTCTTTACGTCATTTATTACCTAGTCCACATTCAGATTTCCTCAATTATTCTGAAATGTTTTTTTATAGCTGATTTGTTCAAACTAGTTTCTCCTAATCAAGGAACACACATTGCATTTGGTTATCTGTCTAAAACCTCTTTTAACCTAGAATGTACCTCCCTCTTTATTTTTATTTTAATTTTGCTAATGAAATTGACTTGTTGAAGAGACTAGGTCAGTCAGTTATCCTGTAGAATACCCCCCCCCCGCCTTCTGGAATTTTCTGATTACTTCTTTATGGTGTCATTTAACTTTTCACTCTATTCCTTCTTTTTTTTTTGAACTAGAAATTAGTTCTCGAGTCTTGATTAGATTGAGGGTCAACTTTTTCTTTTACAAGACTATTTCACAGGCAGTGGTATATATCCATGTTGCATCATATTGGGAAATATAATCTCTGGTTGTCCCATCATTCATGATGCTGAGATGATTATGGGGCTATGCTGCTGATTGCCTGTATCTTCCATTATTTTCCTCCTTGGGACCAGCCAGTCGCCTGTTGGGTGAACTTTGTACCATGTGAGTATTCAGTTCCTTATCCTCTTTACCCAATTGTTTTGGCATTCATTAATGATCGTATCTTGAGTAGATTATTTCATTAGGGGTTTCAAAATGATGATATTCTAATCCCCAAATTCCATCTACGTGTTTTAGCTGGCATTTTTCTATAAACTGGGCATTTTCCCCACAGTTGGGCTTTGGTCATCTGTAATATAGTTCCTTCCGGAAAGGAGAATATATGTTTATTTCTCTCTCTTTTTTAATTATAGATTTTGAGAGTAAAGATTTGGTGAAACAGCCACCTCCATTGTTGACATGACTTTTGTTTTGCTTTTGATTTTTTGAATATCACTATGGCTCTTTGATTTTTATATAATCCACTTGAAGGGATTAATGAGAGAAAAGATACTTTTTACCTGTTTTTTTTTTTTTTTTGTGAGGAAGATCGGCCCTGAGCTAACATCTGCCAGTCCTCCTCTTTTTTTGCTGAGGAAGACCGGACCTGGGCTAACTTCTTCCCATCTTCCTCCACTTTATATGGGACGCGGCCACAGCATGGCTTGCCAAGTGGTGCGTTGGTGCGCACCCGGGATCCGAACTGGTGAACCCTGGGCCGCCGAAGCTGAGCGCGCACACTTAACCGCTTGCACCACCGGGCCAGCCCCTTTTTACCTGTTTTTATAGTTTATATATGCCTATGTGAATTTATCTAAGAAATCCCCGGAAGTATTTTAACTCCCCTTTAAAGATACAAGCTATGTCATACTCTGTAGAGGGAAAAAAACCCCTACAAAGTACTAAGAGTAAATAGTATAATTTAAATGAATTGAGATTAGACTTAGCTTGTAGCTAATTGATTTCTTAACCTATTTCTATTTCCATCTGCTTCAGATCCTCTTTAGGGGTTTAGATCCTCTCTGTATCAATTTATTCTAATCTCTTAAAGCGTTCAAGAGCTCAGTGCAACACAGTGGCTACAAGAATGCCTTTGCCCTTCTCTGGGTGGGTCCATCTGAGGCTAAGAGCATCTCTCTCTCTTCCTCCTCTTTAGTCTCATCTTCTTTTTCAGTCCTAAAACACCCTTAATGTTGGACAAATGACAGCACTGTGTCTGCCTCAAGATGGTACTAGTTTTTCTAGTCTTCTGTCTCTGGAGATGACACTGGATATCAGAACTGTCCAACAGAACTTTCTGTGATGATGGGAATGTTCTATAACCTGCACTGTCTTAGGCACTAGCCACGTGTGACTATTGGACATAGGAAATGCACCTAGTGTGACTGAAGACCTGAACTTTATATGTTATTTACTTTTAATTAATTAAAATTAAAATTTAAATAGCCACAAGTTGTTAGTAGCTACCGTACTGCACAGCACAGCTCTACAACTTAGCATTTAAAATCTACTTTTTTTTTGTTGATAGGTACAGATTGTTACAACCAAAAGTAACTATAGATTAAATAAAGGTAGGTCACCAAATACTACAAACACATTTTTTGGCAAACCCAAACCAGATTTCTTCATATGATAACCACACACTGTTGACTTCAGCCTAGGAGGCACTGAGGTACGGTGGAAAAAGCACTG